TGCGGCCCGCAGAGGAGTCTGAGCTGGCCCACCAGGTTTTTTGGGCAGTGAGCGCAGCCGAGGTGTTACAGTAGGAATTAGTAGTTCATATAGTCTGGCCCTCCAGCTCTCTGAGGGACCGTGATCTGGCCCCCACTTTAAAAAGTTTGAGGACCCCTGAATTGTAGATAAAGAGCAGGCTTGCTAACCTACTTATCGTAAAACTAGGGTTTTTCCAAGCTCAGTGTTCTTCAGTTACGAATATAGTTTGTCAATATAATATATTACCTCACTAAGTCAAAGAAGAAAACCCACCACCTCATTTGAATGGCTGATGAAAAGGTATTGATAATACCAACCTTTTTCATGATTTTAAAGTCTTAGCAAAAAAGAAAATAGTACATTTGTAACACACTAAAGGATAGCTATATGAAACCAACATCATCCTTAACATTAGTGTTAGTTAAATGCATTCTAAATAAAATTGGAAGTACCTGCTAGTTTTACCAGTAAATAATGCAGATTTTGTAATTAAAGAAAACACAATTATTTCAAGAGAAACATCAAAAGTTTGCATTTAAAATGCATTCTAAATAAAATTGGAAGTGCCTGCTAGTATTACCGGTTAATAATGCAGATTTTGTAATTAAAAAATAACACAATTATTTCAAGAGAAACATCAAAAGTACTTTATTCAAAGTAATGTCCATCGTTAGCTACACATTTTCCCCTTCCTTTCTGGTAATTTGTGGATACCGTCCCAATAGAACTTGTTTTGAGGCAAACCATTCAGAGACCCAATTTTTCATTTCTTTGTATGTTTTGAAGTGCTGCTTCAAAAGTGCATGTGTCATCAATTGGAAGAGTGGTAATCTGAAGGAGTAAGGTCTAGTGAATATGATGGATGGATTAATACTTCCCAGGCAAGATCTTTTAACTGGTTTTGAAGTGTGTGATGGTACAGGGGAGAGCAGTTAGACGTGACCAGGCCTGCAAGGGAGGGGAGTTGGGGGCAACCAGGCCTGCAGGGGAGGGCAGTTAGGGGCTACCAGGCTGGCAAGGGAGGGGAGTTAGGGGTGATCGGCCTGCAGGGGAGGGCAGTTGGGGGCGACCAAGTCGGCAGGGGAGGGCAGTTAGGGGTGACTGGGCCAGCAGAGGAGGGCAATTGGGCAGGACCAGGCCAGCAGGGGAGGGCAGTTAGGCACCAATCAGGCTGGGGGGAGTAGTTAGGGGGTTAGTAGGCTGGCAGGCAGAAGCAGTTAGGGTCAATTAGACAGGCAGGCAGGCAGGCAGGCAGGCGAGCAGTTGGGAACCAGTAGTCTTGGATTGTGAGAGGGATGTCCAACTGCCGTTTTGGCCCAGTGGGGTCCCAGATTGGAGGGTGCAGGCTGGGCTGAGGCACATACATCCTCCCCTACCCCATGCACGAATTTCATGCAGCGGGCCTCTAGTATTCAAAGAAAAGGAAATCTCAAGAATCGTTTACCAAAAGAATATAACCTTAAATGGATAAGAGCAGAAACAACATAAAATAAAAACTGGCTATAAATAACCAATAAGCTATGGAACAAGAAGTAATTATGGTGGAAAATTAGAAATCTTAAAATAGTTACTAACATTAAGTTAAGCAGATAGCATAGACAACAGCCTGAATTCAACTGAAGAGCAAAGTATTAGTATGTTGGAATATCAAAACTAGAGAAATGAAAGTGGGAAGGGGCTGTCAGCTTTCAGTCAAGATGAAATAACAGGGACTAAACCCTCCTACCTGAAAAAAACAAAATACCCACGCAAAGCATGCAGAATAATGATTTTCATTTCACTGGACACCAGGCAGCAAAGGCAGTGACTCCAGAGAGACGGGTAACAAGTGAAGTGAGCCAGATAGTTTACTCAGCTTACTGCCTTCAGAGAAGTTTCCATACCACAATGCAGTGTGGTTCAGGCAGCAATGCAGATGGAACCCAGTGGACATCCTGAATTTAGCAGAAGGTGCTTCGAGTCCAGGGAGACCACCAAAAGGAGAGCTTACAGGACAGAGTGCCTACGAGAAAAGTTGCACTCAGAGAGAATTCTGGAGGTCTGCAGAAGGTCTCCCTCAAATATTCAGCAGAGCACTGAATAGCACATGTATGCAGGGAAAGTACCGCAAAAGCTGAGGCAAGAACCAATCAAAAGAAATAAAGAGAACAATATACCATGCTCACACAGGGCTGAGAATAGTGCCTTTATCTACCAACTAAAATGGAAAACTTCATAGTTCACAAGACTAGGCAGAGTATTCAGGTGGCTCTTACCTCAGCAATGGGGCGATCGGAGCCAGTAGCTGCCACTTGCACCTGCTGACAGCATCAAGTGATGGGGGCTGGTACCAGCAGCAGGTGCAAGCACCTGGAGGGACCACAGCTCAGTGCGCAGGAGCAAAGAATTTTCAGTAACCACCAGAAGTTCACCAGAGTGCTATCTTGGTCTGGCGCCCCCATTCACTGCTCCACCACCCCACCACAGCCTATGCCTGCCATGTTCCACACACGCACCCTGATGGTCAGCACACATCATAGCGACCAGTTTTTCGGTTGTCCCGCCATTTGGTTTATTTGCATATTAGCCTTTTATTATATAGGATGCTATAGTTATTCCCAACTTCATACCTTTGTGCTTTTCACCTCTGCCTTTTCTCTTCCCTCCATATAATTCTACTTCAGTATCTGCATTTCCTTCTTTAAGCTTTCTTGATCTTTACTTCCTAACTTTACAAGTTGTCTGTAATTACTAAGTATTTCTGTAGTGTCCACTGTGTAACTAGTATCTATAAGAATTGTGTCTACCATGCTACTGCTGAAAATGTAGTTGTGAAGAGCACAGATATAGTCCTTATTCGCATGAACATTACAATCTAAGAGAATAGACAGGTATTAAAATAGCTGCTTCCAGTTATGATAAAGAAAATGCCATACTTCGAAAATAAGGTACATGGGCAATTTACCTAGTTTTGAAGGAAAAAGACTTGTCTGAGGAAGTGACAAGCTTTAAAAGGGTAAAAAGAAATCCACTTAACTAATGCAAAGGCAGAAGGAAAGGCAAAGACTAGGGACCAAGAAACAGCTTGCAATGGGGAGAATTTGATAAATTTAAAATGATGAGAAAGGCTCATGCAAATGCAATGTAATTAAAGGAGATAAATGGCTGTAAAATATGAGACAAGGCAGACATGAAAATCTACTAAGGCCCAACTGAAGATTTTAGAACTTTGGGAAGCCATTAGAAATTATAAAATGGAAGCATGACAAGATCAGATTTCCATTTTAAAAGACTTTTTGCTGCATAATACTGAGAAAGAGTCTAGCTAAGTTACTACAATTTTGGTGAAAAACAAAAGACAAAAACCTTTGTAAGGTGTCTTTATCAAAGTCCTTTCATTTTACAATAGCCTTAAACTTAAGCTGCGCTCTGGTCCTGACTAATAAATCTTAAAGGACCCAAAAGTGTCAAACTGTTTCCAGATTACTACCCCATTACAAAAATCAGAATATAGAAATAGAAAAATATCCATCAGCCAACAAGATAAAATTCACAATGTCTGCCATCCAATAAAAACATCATTAAGTATGCAAAGCAGGAAAATACAACCCACGATGAAAAAAATTCAGTTGAAACATACCCAAAATTGTCACAGATGTTAGGATTAATTGACAAAGACAGTACTGTACTCCATGTGTTCAAAAGTTAAGGAGAGGACTGGAAGACTTAACAGTTTTTAGGAGGACTTAAATTAATAGGTGATTTAATATTATTAACTTGTCCATTTATCCCAAAATAATATGTAGATTTCATGTAATTCAAGTCAGTATTCAAATGGGATTTGTTTTTAGAATTGATCAATATTTTTAAGGTCATGGAGAGAATGAAAGGGCTTATGATAATAAAAGGTAACAAAAGTTTCTTTAATCTACAAGCAGTATAAAATTAATAATTAAAATTGTGGCTCTAACACAAGATACACATACAACAAATCCATAGGAATATGGGACTTTATGATAATGGTTACATTCTAATTGAGTGATAAAAGAATAGATTGTTCAATAAATAGTTTTGGGCAACTGACTTATTTTAGGAAGGAAAAGTTAGAGATTCTATTTTCCATCTAAACTCTAGGGAGTTAAATATTTATGGGAGTGCGAGAGTTGGGGGTAAGTTTTCCAAGTGCTGGAAGAGAATATTAGTGAAGAATTATATCATCTAAGCATAATGCCAAGGGAAAATGGTACAGGAAAACAATAGATAACACATTAACCATTAACTTAAAAATTCCTAAAAAGGAAATTTAATGTGGTCAGTGTGTTAGCTTCTTGTGGTCTTCTATGATAATGTTTGTTATGTGAAAGACAGATACTTTTATAAACTATAATAAAATAAAGTGCTATAAAAATAAAGTTAAAAACATAAGCTTTCATGTGTTTTTTTTTTTATTCTTAGGCTCAATAAAGATGTATATTTAGTCACATTGGAAAAGTTTGAAATATTTTTAAAGCCTTAAATATGTATATTACTGACTGAACAGCTGTGCTTCTAGGAGTTTATCCTAATAAAATAAAGTTAGTATATACAGATGCTTACCACCATATTATCTTAATGGGGGACAACATGAGAGCTACCTAACTCTTAAAATGGAATAGTTAAGTAATGTCTGATGTTTCCATAAAATGTAATGTTATGTGACTGACTCAATTGCATTGTAAAAGAACATAAAAAGTGGGGAAATGTTCAGAATAATGATTCATAAATTTTAGATGGATATTAAGTGGGTGGTGGAATAAAAAGCAGTTGTGTGGTGGGAGGTTGTAAGTTTATTTTGAAATTTCTAGAGCTCAGTAAGGGTAAGAAAGTATTATGTGTCCTTTTCTAAATGTAAGGATGCCATGCTAGTTCTTTGGTATTTATAGTAGTATACAAATTAAAAAGGAAGTATTATGTGCATTTTTAAAATGTAAGATTTTGGTTTTAAATTTTTTCTTTTTCAGTTCTGCTCGAGATTTCAAGAATTTTGAATACTGGCTTAGATATGGAGACTCTGTCTATTTGTGTACGGCTTTGTGAACAAGGAATTAATCCAGAAGCTTTATCGTCAGTTATTAAGGAACTTCGAAAGGCCACTGAAGCACTAAAGGTAGAAATCCAGTTGTTATTTCATTCTAAATAAAGATGGTTTTGTTTAGAAAATGATTAATGATGAAGTTATGTGAAAGATCTTACACAAGATTAAAGTAACATCTATCCACCATCAAGAGAAATTCTAAAGAGCAAAAGCTTAGTAGCATATATTCAGATCACAAAAGTCACTACTATCATAGACTGTGTTGTTCCTTTCCTAGTAGTCTCCCTTAGAATTTTCCCTGTGTTGTGGGTAAAATTGTGTCTGCCTGAAATAACATATGCTCAGGCCCAGTGTCTATGAATATGACTTTATTTGGAAATAGTATATCTGCAGGTATAATGATGAGATCAAGTTAAGATGAGATCATAATGGATTAATGTCCTTATAAGATGTGGGAAATTTAGACACAGATACACAAAGTACCACGTGAAAGCACAGACACAGGGGAGTGTGCCATGTAACAACAGAAATAGAGACTGGAGTGATGACATCCACAGGGCAAAGAAGGCCGAGGATAATTGGCAGCCACAAGAAGCAAGGAAGGATCCTTTGCTAGAGCCTTCAGAAAGTGGGTGCCCTTCTGACATCTTCATTTTTGGACTTCTGCCTCCAGAACAGTGAGAGAATAAATTTCTGTTGTTTTAAATTACCCAGTTTGTGGTCCTTTATTACAGCAGACAGAAATGTAACACAGGTTTACTGCTGGGAAGTGGAGTGCTTCTATAAGAAATACCTACAAATGTGGAAGTCGCTTTGGAATTGCATAATGAATAGAGATTGGATGGCTTTCATACACTTCATAGAAAAAGCCTAGAGACTGTTGGTAGATTGATGGACATTAAAGACGATTATGGTAAGGGCTCAGAAAGACAGGAGAGCTGAAGAGAGCTTTAATCATCTTAGAGAATACATATAACATTATGAACAGAATATTGCAAGGAATATGGATATTAGGGCTCTGATAAAGTGTCAGAGGGAAATGGAGAGTATATTATTAGGCACTGGAGGAAAGACTATTCTCGCTATAAAGTGAAGGAGCCCTGGCTGAATTATGTTCTGTTGGAAGGAAAATAAAGCTTGTAAGTGATAAACTTGGATACTTAGTTGAGGAAATTTCCAACTTGTGGAATGTGCAGCTTAACTATCTTCTTGTTCCTTATAGTAAAATGAAAAAGGAATGAGAAATTGAGGAAGGAACAGTAAGCAAAAAGCAATGACATTTGCTTTGAAAAATTTTGAGCCCATCCAGATAGCAAATTCTGGAGACATGGACAGGAGTGTGGTTGAGGAACCTTTTGGTGAAGAGATTAGGTGTGTTTCATAGATGCAGTCAGCCATCTCAGCATAAAACACTGCCAGCTTGGACTGAAAGGGACCTGTACAGTACAGAATGAAGGAAGGCTGTCAGACTTCTGGCATTCCATAGGCAGGAACTTGGCGAGCGAGCCAACCAGCTGGGAATATGAATTTATTCAAGAAAAGGGAAGAATGACTCCGGGGTCTCAGAGACCAGGGAGCTACTGAGGGCAATTGGACTGCACTGACAACATGGGCCCGAAGGTCCACCTTTTGTCCAATTAAATTTAGATCTTTCAACTGCTGAGATTGGGAAGAGGAAAAGCGTTCCTTCTCTTAGACACACTGATTTAAAATCTCAGATGATTTTTATTTTCATGTTTTTATAGGACCAACTCACCATGCAAGAATCCTGAAATTTCCAGTTAGTCCTCTTTAAAACTTCTAAGACAAAGTGGCTTTTTAAAAGCCTTCTTTCTTTTATTTGAGGAAATAGAACTATACAAAACACATAGCTTATCCATCTCAGATTGTTATTTTCCAATAAGTTCCAGTGATTTGGGTTGTTGGTTTTGTGTTTTTTGAACATTTTGGTTATTAAGAGAACATTAAAGATAAACATTTACAGAGAAAATCTATACTAATAAAAGGGTAATATGCTAATTAGACTGAACATCTTCTGGATGTCCTTCCGTACATCCTTTCTGACAAAGCCATGTTGGCGGGGTCAAGGAAGAGGAGGTTAGAGGCGATCAGGCAGGCAGGGGAGAGCAGTTAGGGAGAGCGGTTAGGGCAAACAGGCTGTCAGGGGGAGCATTTAGAGGGATCAGGCTGGCAGGCAGGTGAGTGGTTAGGAGCCAGAGGTACTGAGGGATCCCAGATTGGAGAGAGTGCAGGCTGAGCTAAAAGGACCCCCTTCCCATGCACAAGTTTTGTACACAGGGCCTCTAGTATTTTCATAAAGAGGATATCTATGAAATTCATTGCCAACACCCTAGAAGTCCCCTTAGGCTCACCCCATCACTGTCTTCTCTTTCCTGCTTACCCCTCAAGTAACTACTGTCCTAATTTTTATGGTAGACAGTTTTAACGTGATATAAATGTAATCTTTTTTTAAAATTTATTGATTTTTTTACAGAAAGGAAGGGAGAAGGATAGAGAGTTACGATGAAAGAGAAACATCGATCAGCTGCCTCCTGCACACCCTCCCACTGGGAATGTGCCTGCAACCAAGGCACATGCCCTTGACCAGAATTGAACCTGGGACCCTTCAGTCTACAGGTCGACACTATCCACTGAGCCAAACTGGTTTTGGCTAATCTTTTCTTTAAAAAAAATATATTTTTTTATTGATTTCAGAGAGAGGAAACAAAGGAGAGAGATAAAAAAAATATATTTTTTTATTGATTTCAGAGAGAGGAAACAAAGGAGAGAGATAGAGAGAGAGGAACATCGATGAGAGGAAAACATTGATTGGCTGTCTCGCCTCCTGCATGCCCCCTCCAGGGATTGAACCCCCACAACCCGGGCATGTGCCTTGACCCCACATGGGTCAACACTCAACACTGAGCTGGGCAGTACAATCCATTTTTTACTGGGTTCTTTTATTTAACATGTTTGTGAAGTTCATTTATGTTGTGTGTAACTATAATACACTAGAGACCCAGTGCATGAAGTTCATGCACTGAGTTGGGGTGGGGGGTGTCCCTCAGCCTGACTTGTTACCTCTCCAATCTGGGATCCTTCTCACAATCTGGACCGCTGGCTCTTAACCGCTCACCTGCCTGCCTGATTATCCTTAACTGTTTCTCCTTGCCAACCTGATTGCCCCCTAACCTCTCCCTTGCCAGCCTGATTGACACCTGACTGCTCCCCTGCTGGCCCAATTGCCCCCAACTGCCCTCCCCTGCAGGCCTGCTCACCCCCAACTGCACTCACTCCACTGCTGATCATATTGCCCACAACTGCCCTCCCCTGCTGGCCTGATAGCCTCCAACTGCCCTCCCCTGCCGGCAATGTCACCTGCTGGCCTTATCATCCCCAACTGCCCTCAGCCAGGACCTGCCTCCTGTATGCGAGACTCGCCTTCCCCCTGGAGGTGGCTGAGACGCTGGGACCGGCCTCCTTTGCCACCGGGCCCCGCCTTCACTGTGCACACAGCCATCTTGTGGTGATGTCACATGAGGGCGTTATGCCTCCTACGCTTTTATTATATAGGATTCCTTTCCACTTTAATAATGTTTTATTGTACAAATACACTAAAATGTATTTTTTCTACTGTGAATGGATATTGGGTTGTTTCCAGGTAGAGATTTTTGTATTGTAATGCATTTTGAGTACTATAAAGGAACCAGAAGCAAGTAACCTAACTGAAAGGAATGTTCAGCCCAGCCACTTTGGCTCAGTGGTAGAACATTGACCCATGAACCAGGAGGTCACTGGTTGATTCCCAGTCCCAGCACACGCCTGGGTTCTAAGTTCGATCCCCACTGTGGGGCATGCAGGAGGCAGTCGATCAATTATTCTCTCTCATCATTGATGTTTCTTTCTCACCCTCTCTGAAATCAATCAATAAAAATAAAATTTTAAAAAATGATCATCCAAGAGATTACCAGTGAAGTATTACACTTAATTTTATTGAATGAAATAACCTTCCTCAGGTTGTTTTTCTAGATTAAAGTTTATCCTGATTTTATTGCTCCTGTTGGATTGGAGTTTGGATTGGTTGGTAAAGAGTTAAAAGCATAAGGTTGTTCTATCTTTTTTGTGCCGTTGCTGCTAATAAATTTTTTTCTTGTACTTTTTACTTCATTTGGTATGAAAAATTGGGTGAGGAGAATCTGTTCCTGCTGCATTCTATCTTTACCTAGAAATCCTAGTGATGAGAATATCTTTCTCTTTCACAGACTGGTATCTTGAGGAATCTGGGTGAGGGAGAAAAGGGCAGGGCAGAGTGGGCCATTTGAATTAACAACTGTGAGCCTTGGCCACTGTGACAAGATATTAGTGTCAACCTGAGCACCAAAGAGTTGTTGATTCTGTTCCTGGTCAAGGCCACATACCTGGGTTGCTTAGCACTGAATTTTTGTATTGTTTCCTTGGTGCTACTATTAATGGATAAGCAATCATTTACATATTATAATTTTAGAAATTCTAGGCAAGACCTACTTTTCTGTACCTTCTACTTTGTACCATGGTGTCTTTTTTTTTTTTTTTTTAATATATTTTTACAGAGAGGAAGGGAGAGAGATAGAGAACTAGAAACGTCGATGAGAGAGAAACATCGACCAGCCGCCTCCTGCACACCCTCCACCAGGGATGTGCCCGCAACCAACATACATGCCCTTGACCGGAATCGAACCTGGGACCCTTCAGTCCGCAGACCGACGCTCTACCACTGAGCCAAACCGGTTTCGGTGTACCATGGTGTCTTGAATTACACTATCATTGATGCATCCTATACACTTAAGCTCTTTCTTTTGAAGCTATCCTGAACCATCACTAATATCTAAGAGTGAGTGGTGTATCTCTCACTGTGTAAGAAGGTCTGCAGCACAAGGACATTATAGTTGAGAGAGAAACGAGGAATTAAGTTCAATGGTCCAACCCATCCTTCCAGGAATAAACTTGCGCAGAAAAGAGTTTGGAAATGAAGACTACTCGCACTGGTTTTTCCCAGGCCCAATGCTTACAAATTTTTGGAGTCTTTAATGGCCACCTGGTAACTATATGGGTTTCTAGGATGCGATTGCTGTCCATTCTAGTAGTTCTGCCTAACATGAATGCTACACATGGTTGATGGCTTACTTAGTTTAAATGAAAATAGTTGTTTTATTTTTAGTGTTTCTTACTTGATATATTATCTCTATCTTGGAGAACTTCTAAAATTAATATGAAAGTGGAATGGGACAAGAGAGATAATATTGCATTAAAGTTAAGGTGCTTTAATTCTAAAATTCCTAAAATTGTATAATTTTAAGTCTTTTTGAAGTATATGATACTGAGAATGGGGTTAGGAAGATGAAAGAGTGGAAAGGTTATGTGGCTAAAGCTAGTAGAACCATTAAGGGTTCTTAGAACAAGGGACAGTTTTTTTCAAATTGGGTTTTAATTGTGAATTCAGTAAACTCAAAGAAGGGCAAGGCTAATTAAGAATAGCTAGCTATATAGGAAAACAAGTTCTGTTTCAGATTGAGTTATCTGTAGTGTTCTTAATATCTTAAGGGATTTTCATGACAGACTTCTGAAATTAGACCAAACTTAAAAGCAAGTTTTAATTAAGAAGTGGAAGTATAAATGAATTAAAAACTTACCATACATATCTGAAATTAAACTTTTAAAAAATCAATATTTTCATAAATAAATTATTTAAATCCTTTATTTATTTTTAAATATATTTTTATTGATTTCAGAGAGGAAGGAAGAGAGAGAAAAAGATAGAAACATCGATGAGAGAGAATCACTGATCAGCTGCCTCCTGCATGCCCTCTCCTGGGATCAAGCCCCCTTACTAGGGATATGCCCTTGACCGGATCGAACCCGGGACCCTTCAGTCCGAAAGCTGATGCTCTATCCACTAAGCCAAACTAGCTATGGCTATTTTTAACTTTTATTTATTGATATTTAAAGAAAGAGAAACATTCATTTGTTTTTCTACCTAGAAGAACCAACCAGTAACCTTGGTGTATTTGGACATTGCTCTAACTAACTGAGCATGCTGGCCAGGGCCTAAATTCTTATTTTTAGAAATATATGTGATGGAATTATATGGTGCTTTGGAATTTCTGCAGAATAGTCATGGACAGTGGTAATAGTTTGGTATATTAGGTCTAGTAATAATTAATGTAGTTTTCTAATACTTTTTTAAATCGAATTTATTTAAACAATACAACAAAATTTAATCAACAATATAGTTGCCGTTGTTTTCTACTACTTGTGCCCAACGCTCAGGAAGCATTTTAATCCCTCTGTTGTAAAATTCTTGTGATTTTGATGCAAAAAATTCGGTCAATGCATTTTTGAGGCATTCTTCATTATTAAATTTTTTTCCAAGAAGAAAGTTTTGCAAAGAACAAAACAAATGGTAATCGGAAGGGGCAATATCAGGAGAATATTCAGGTTGAGGCAGAACTTCCCATTCCAACTGGTGCAGTTTTTCAGCAGTGATTCTTGCAGTATGCGCTCGTGCATTATCGTGGTGAAGAATTACGCCCTTCCGATTAATCAGCGCGGGTTCTTTTTCTCTTAAAGCTTGGGCTAACCTTTCCAATTGGGCACTATACACTGCACTTGTAATGGTTTGGTTAGATGGTAAAAGTTCATAATGAAGAATTCCTTTAAAATTTCACCAAACACACATCACTTTTTTCGCATGCAAGTCAGGTTTTGGCGTGGGCTGCAGAGCCTCATTTTTGTCCAACCATTGAGGCCGCCTTTTCAAATTAACATACAGCACCCATTCTTCATCTCCAGTAACAATTTGCTCTAAAAACGGCAAACGGTTTTGACGAGAGAGGAGTGAACTGCAAATTGTGACTCTTTGATTACGGTTGTTGTCGGTCAACTCATGAGGAACCCATTTTCCAAACTTTTGGACTTTGCCAAGTGCACGCAATTGATTGGAAATTGTTTTTTGTGAACAATTTAAAGTTGTCACAAGCTCTTATTGGGTAATTTGAGGATTTTGCACCAAAAGAACTTGAAGAGCTTCTTGATCAAAATTGGACACACGGCCTCGACCACTCTTGTCATCTAACGAAAAATTTCCCTCGCGAAATTTCTCAAACCAACGCTGGCATTTTCTGGCGCTAACTGCATCTTGACCAAGAGCACTACAGATGTTTTTTGCAGCCTCACTTGCTTTTCTTCCTAATTGGAACTCGTAAAGCATGCAGTGCCGAATATGCTCTTCATCCGCCATCTTCTTAGCCCTAGTTTTGCAACAAAAACCAAACCAAACACAAACTTTTTCAAGCAAAACTTGTTAATTGCACTTCACACGTTCTGTAGATACCACGTGTTTGAAGGTTATGTCAGTACAAGTCAACGCCAAGCAAGATTTTAAACGAATGTTGGAAAACGACATTAATTATTACTAGACCCGATACAAAAAATGAAAACCACTGCATTATCCTGACAAAACTGTTTTGATATATGTTGGGGAGGATTTGTTTGTTAATGACAGTGTGGTATTGACAAATTTATTTCCATGGTGTGTCTTTTTCTATGTTTTATCATATTGAATCTTACTTTCTTGTTATAGGCTGCTGAAAATATGACAAGCTGACTTTCTAGAGAATTCTTAATGAGATGTCAAACTCTGCAAGAGGATTTGAAGATTGAATTGTACTCAAGAATGTACAATGAAATTACTGCATGCAGCAGTGTAGCAACATTTTCCTTTTTAAAAGAATTATAAAACCATAGCTTTATAAATCAATGAAAACTGGCTTACAGAGAGGACTGTCAAATGTGTTTACATCACATCTTGCTTTTTTAAACAGTGCTAATGCTTTGGCATTACAGTGTTCATATTTATTCCTTATTTATAGATCTGATAGCTTTAATTTTCTAAGCAGTCTATCAGATGTGCACATCTGGTGAGACTGTTTGTAGTACAGCAGAACCCATTAATAGTAATATAGTAGTTAGGACTTGCTGACATTTCCATTATAAACTTTAATTTTAAATTGTTTATGCAAAATAACTGTATTTATGTTGCATTAGGCTAAAAGTTGACAGAATTTCAACCACCATTTGTGAATTTTGATTTATATTCATTATATCAGAATCAAAAACATTTGTTCTAATCTGTTTAACAAAAAATGCTTAATTTTTAAACATAAACTTTGTCTGGCATGAATAGTGTGAAACAGATCAATTTTGTATTGGTTGAAAAATAAAACTTTTAGAAACTTAGATTTTAAAAGTAATGATAGTACTTAGCTTTTACTTTTTATTTGTCAATTGAATCATTTAGTGAGAATATTAATTGAGAATGTTTTCCCCTTAGTTTTACACTTGAAACATTTCAACATGCAAAATTCTTTTTATGTTTATTACATAAAAATAAATTGAGTACTTACCTAATATATCTTGAGTGGTTATCTAATAACTCAGTAGATAGCTATTAACAGGAACTGTCATTCAACATATATGTTACTATTTTCTGAAGAAATAAAGATTTCCAGTCATTAAACAAAAACTAAATAATCTAATGTTCTGTAATGACTTTTTAAGATTATTTTTGTGTGTCATTTTACTATAGAGTTTTAACTAATCAGAATTTACTTCATAATAAATTTTGATTCTGTTTCTGTAATAGAATCTCAATGGAATATTATTCTCAAGACTAATGCAAATTTAATCTGACTTCATTTTAGAATTTGTTAGTTTCCATTTAAATGGCAGAATAAGACAAACTGAAATGATTTTAGTAAAGCTGACTAATATTTAAATAACAGTCTTCTGTACTATTTTAAAAATCTAGTCTTTTGAGTATTTAAACATTTTAAATGTATGACATCTTCACCAAGTTTACTGGAAGGTGTATTGGGAGGCAAGAACATGTGATGAGAAGTCATTTTATTTGCTTACAGATACTTATTGCATGTTGTTATTTATAAAATTATAGAACACTTGTCAAGTTAATAGTTAAATTGTTTATGACTTTATAGATTAAAGTTATTTATGAATAAAACAGCAGGAAAAAATATTGAGGAATTATGTTTACAGAGGACTTCTTTAGTATGTTATGTTTCTTAAATGTAAACATATTTTTAATGCATATTTAATATTTAAAGAAACCAAAGTAATGTTACAGTCATAGTGTTGTGCATGTTGTCATTGACAAAAATAAAACCCATTTCGGTGGTATTGGATGTACTTTTGATTTAATATATGCTTCCATGAATTCAGCTTGTGTTTCTGTAGATATTCTACAAATATTTAAATGCCCATTAGTTAAGTATGATTGGAGACTACTTAAAGGTAGGTTGTGTAATTTAAAATATAAAATTAGGCTTGTGGTGTAAAATGAAAGACTTGCCCTGGTAGGGAAAGGATGTAGCTATATTAATATTGCTCCAGGCTTGAAAACAAAGTTGGCATATCAAATACGTGTGAGATATTTTTCTATACTTCTAAGTGAATATTATAAAATTTACATGTTTCAAACTTAAAACTTTTCTAATAATTGAGTCAAGAATCCGTTTTTAAACTTATTTAAATAAAGTGAAACATTCCTCACATTAGCCACATTTTTATTGTAAAATATACACAATGTGAAATTTACCATTATAAGTTGTATAGTCATATTAAGAACATTTAATTATTGTGCAACCATTACTATCCAGAACTTTTTTGTAATCTTTATTGTTCAGATTATTACAGTTGTTCCTTTCCCACCACCCTCCCCCGTTGCTCCCCTCCATCCAGTTACCACCCCTCATGCCCTAAACCTCCCCCCTCCCCACTGTCCTCATCCATAGGTGTATGGTTTTTGTCCGGTCTCTTCCCGCACCCCCCATACCCTTTCTCCCTCAAGGATTGTCAGTCCACTCCCTTTTCTATTCACCAGATTCTGTTCATTAGATTTTTTATTCACTTAGTTTTTAGATTCACTTGTTAATATGTATTTGCTGTTCATAATTATCTTTACCTTTTTCTTCTTCCTCTTCTTAAAGAATACCTTTCAACATTGCATATAATATTTGTTTGGCAGTGCAGAACTTTCCAAATAGAAACTATCCATTAAGCCAGGGATGGGGAACCTGTGTTTTGCCAAGGACCATTTGGATATTTATTATAACACTAAAGGCCCTATATCAGGCGTCCTCAAACTTTTTATAGTAGGGGCCAGATCACGGTCCCTCAGAGAGCTGGAGGGCCGGACTATATGAACTACTAATTCCTACTGTTAACACCTCGGCTGCACTCACTGCCCAAAAAACCTGGCAGGCTGGATCAGACTCCTCTGCGGGCCGCATGTGGCCCGCGAGCCGTAATTTGAAGACGCCTGCGGCCTATATTCATGCACTGGAGGCAGGATCCCTCAGCCCAGCCTGCCCCCTCTCAGTTCGGGAGTCCTCAGGGGCGGGAGGAGATTAGGGGGAGGCAATGCCCCCATCACACTTCTGTTACTGCCTCAGCCAGCCCTGGTTAGCTGAGCCTCAGATGGCCCGGGGTGGCTAGGTAGCCACCGTCTGAGGCTTGCCTGCACCTCAGGCTGGCCCTGGGCAGCTGAGGGGACTGGGTGCTGCCATCTTTGAGGGTGTAGCAGTTAATTGGCATAGTCTCCTCATTGGCTGTGGGCACAGCCATCTTTGTGAGGGTGTGATGGTCAATTAGCATATTCCCTCTTTTTTAGGATCATTTGCAGGCCATACAAAATTATCACCTTAAAAATTAGCCTGCTATATTTGGTCAAACATTTAATTAACTCACCCCTAATGTCTTGGAAGGGCCAGCCCAAATGAGTTCTCTGGCCTTATTCAGGCTTTATATGGCTGAGGGCCGGATGTCCCCCACTCCTGCATTAAGCAATAACTCCCTGTTCTCTCCCCCAGCTTCAACATCTGCTTTATGAATTTGACTGCTTTTAGTACCTCATATAAGTAGAATCCTAGAATATTTATTCTTTTGTCTCTTATTTTACTTAGCATGATGTCTTCAGATTTCATCTGTGTTGTATCATGTATCAGAATTTCATTAGTTTTAAAGGCTGACTAATATTCCATTTTATGTATTTACATTTTGTCCATTTTTCTGATGATGGATATTTGAATTATTTCTGTTGTTTGGCTAGAGGAGTGATGTTGCTGTCAATATTGGTGTGTAATTATTTAGACCCTGCTTTCAGTTCTTTTCAGTAAAAATGGAATTGTTGCATTGTATTGTAATTGTATAATTTTTTTTAAGGAACTAATTTTTTTTAAAGAACTGTTTTTTGTTTAAACAATAGCCATTGTAATAGGTGTGACATAGAGTCTAATTTTGTTTTAATTTATATTTCCCTAGTAATGAGTAATGTTGAGCATCTTTTCACGTACTTAAACATTGGCTATTTGTATATCTTTGGAGGAATATCTGACCAAGTCCTTTGCCAAGTTTTAATTTTTTTTAATTTTTTTTTTGTCATTTAGTTCTAGTTCTTTATATATTCTGGCATCTATTAAAAAATCACTTATTGGATATTTGATTTGCAACTTTTCTTTTATTCATGAGTTGATTTTTTTCACACTCTTGATGCACAAATTTTTAAAATTTTGATGAAGTCTCACCTATTTTTTTCCCCGTGCTTTTGGTGTCATGGCAGAGATGCTGTGTTAGCAGCCATAGCTTGAAGGAACCACACATGGCAAAAGCTCTGCAGCTCCCACAATCTCATCTGAGAAAAGGACAGGAGTCAGGAAACCACATTACAGAGAAGTTGGGCTCAGAAGTCAGACAGACTCACCTAAATTCTGGCTCAGTCAGTGGCTTTGGGCAAATTACTTTAGAGACCCAGTTTCCTAATCTGGAAAATGTGGGAAATTTTCCCTATCTCAGACTGTGAGATTGAAATAGAGTTGGTTTGTAAAATACTTTGCTAGATGCCTGAAATAAATTAAAAGTTTATTTTTACATACACACACAGGCACACAAGCATCCCATCCCCTCAAACAAACATAAGCATTCCTTTAGGTGAGGAGCAAAGGGCTGTTTAAGAATTATGCATAAGCCCTCGCTGGTTTAAATGTCAGTGGGTAGAGTCAGCCTGTGGACCGAAAGGTCCGAGTTCGATTCTGGTCAAGGACAGATGCTCAGGTTGCGGGCTAGATCCCTAGTAGGGGGTGTGCAGGAGGCAGCATATCAAGATTCTCATTGATGTTTCTATCTTTCTCCCTCTCCTTCCCTAAAATCAATAAAAATATATTTTAAAAAAGAATTATGCATAAAGCTGGGTACCCATTGATGTGGTGAAGGCCTGGGAGGGGCAGTGGGGGTAGAGGGGGTCATTGGGGGAAAAGTCCACTAAGGGGACATTTAAAATACTTTTAACAATACAGATATAGTTTTAAAAACGGTGCTTTTGATCAAATGTCTGGTCTTTAGGCAAATTGCACTTTCACTCTTCCTATGTGACCTCCATAAGTTTTATTTACTGTTGACGTTACAACACTTCCACAACGATTGAGCCAAAATTTTTTAAGACATATAAGTGACAGTTTGGAACTTTTTGTTAGGAAACTTAGGGCTGGATAGTGTTACCCAAAACTTTCGTCCTAACCTTAGTGCTTCAGAATGTGACTATATTTGGAGAAAGGGCCTTCAAAGAGATGACTGAGTTAAAATGAGGCCGTTAGATTGAGTCCCGCTACTACTACTATCCTTGTAAGAAGAGGAAACTTGGACACAGATACCAGGCTTCCATGCACACAAGAAAGACCATGTGAGGACACAATGAGGTGACCAGAATGCACAAGCCAAGGAAAGAGACTTCAGAAGAAAAGCCTTCCAACATCTTGATCTTGGGCTTCCAGCATGCAGAACTGAGGAAACAAATGTTGGTTTAGCCACCCAGTCAGTAGTACTTTGTTACTTTGTTATGGCAACTTTATAAAGTGCCTATTATAGTCAAACCCTTGCATTCAGTCCACAGGGAATAGTGAGCAAGAGCTAAACAAATTGGGAAGATGAAACAGGCTGTTTTTTGTTTGTTTTTTAAAGCCATGATGGGCAGCCTTAAACCACGTTGGTGAATAGGCACCCTATGTCTAGTTCTCAGAAACTCAGCTGAAAATAAACCACAGACCAGCCAGCCACCTGAAATCTGAAAGATTTCTCTAATGCAATAAGCCTGAAATAAATATAATTTTGGTTGGTGGTAATTGTGAACTAATTATTTTGAGGCACATGGCCCTATAGTTTTGAAGACTGATACAATTTAAAGTTACTATTTAAGTTAATAGAATTTTGGGGAAATCTGCATTAAATGTGGCAGAAATGGGCATCTCACTGCTGTGGAAACCCACATAAAATAATAAAAATTGGTTGAATCATTTAGGTGCAAACAGCTTGAAGAGTCTCAAATGGACAGTATCACTGAGAGATCTAGATAGTAACCCACTGTGGAGTAGGACCTTGCAGAAGAAAACGGGTTAATATAAAAATGCTTTGATATTCAATGGCAAAGGAATTTTTACACAAACTCCATTAAGTGATGTGTTAGATTATTCTACGGAACAAATAGGAAATGTATTTGCTTTTCTAAAGACTTTAATCTCCAGTCATTAAAACAATATATTTTTAAATGTAAATAGAAAATAGTTTATGTGCCTATTTCAAAAAACAGGTATTTATTTTTACACAAATTGCTCTCATAACAGGGTCCTTGACTGAGAACAAGGGCAAGGACAGGATTTATAGGCAAGGGGAGAAAAGGCAGGCAGTCTAGAAAAAGTAAATCTTGCTTGCACATTTCTGGCGGTAAACTAATTAGCTGGTATTCTGTCCTTGAGGAAAGGACAGTGAAGGTATCAAAACAATTTTGTTATGGATTCTCCCAAGAAATCACGTGAGTCCTTCCATCAGCACCTCTACTTTGCTGAGGTCAGCTTCACACCATTTTCCTCATGAGTCTAACCTGTGATTCATAAGTCAAGTTATTAGGTAAAATTTCACATGGAATATTAAGGTTGCAACTTCTAAAGCTTCTACAAAGAAAAAGGGAAAACTAGCAATTGAATGTTAGAAAACTACCTAATGCATAGAACGGGTACAAAAGAGGAATCCACAAAAGTAGATTATTCTGGCTGAAATAAAAACTTAGGTTTGTGGGAGAGAGCTAGAAAGACTGGTTGAAATCAGATTGTGAACAACTCTGAAAAAGTTTG